TCAATTTTTGATGAAATCAAACAAAGTTTAATTTTGGACCCTTTGGACCTCAATGTGGATCAATTTAAAAACGGGGCCCAAAATCCAAAAACTTAATACACAGTTAGAATCGGCATATTAAAGAACCCCAAGAATTCAAGAATAAAACCCCATTGAAATTGGTCAAGAAATAAGCAATTTATACGAAGTATCTTCTTTTGCACAATACTGTGCAATTGAATATTTCTTGCTATTGCGCAATACTGTACAATTGACAATTTCTTGCTATTGCGCAATATTGTGCTATTGGATATTTCTTGCTATTGCACAATACTGTGCAATTGAAGATTTCTTGCTATTGCGCAATACTGTGCAATTGAAGATTTCTTGCTATTGTGCAATACTGTGCAATTGAAAATTTCTTGCTATTGCACAATACTTATTATATAATAATTTACACATCCTGTTTGGTGTGTATCTCCTACCATATCATTATTATTTGCTTTTAAATATAAAACAGAAATAACCAACTTAATGTGGAAAATTTTAAAAGAAAAAAAAAAAAAAATCCCCCCCCCAATTTTTTGAACCCCCTTATGATTCATCACCCCAAACTCAATCCCAGCCTTCCCTTTGTGGTATGGTACCTTGCAGTACAATTTCAGAGAGATCCATACACTTGAACACAAGTAATTGTCTGGAAACTAGAAAAATGCTTATTTTTGGCCCCTTTTTGGCCCCTTATTCCTAAACGTTTTTGGCAATTACCCCCAAACTCAATTCCAGCTTTCCCTTTGTGATATGGAACCTTGTAGTACAATTTCATAAAGATCCATACACTTACACACAAGTTATTATCATGAAACTAGAAAAATGCTTGTTTTTTGCCCCTTTTGTGGCCCCTAATTCCTAATATTTAGAGGCAATTACCCCCAAAATCAATCCCAGCATTCCCTGTGTGATATGGAACCTTGTGGTACAATTTCAGAGAGATCCATACACTTGAACACAAGTTATTGTCTGGAAACTAGAAAAATGCTTATTTTTGGCCCCTTTTTGGCCCCTTATTCCTAAATGTTTGGGCAATTACCCCCAAACTCAATTCCAGCTTTCCCTTTGTGATATGGAACCTTGTAGTACAATTTCAGAAAGATCCATACACTTACACATAAGTTATTGTCATGAAACTAGAAAAATGCTTGTTTTTTGCCCCTTTTTTGGCCCCTAATTCCTAATATTTTGAGGCAATTACCCCCAAAATCAATCCCAGCATTCCCTGTGTGATATGGAACCTTGTGGTACAATGTCAGAGAGATCCATACACTAACACACAAGTTATGTCTGGAATATACAAAAATGCTTATTTTTGGCCCCTAATTCCTTAACTGTTGGTACCATAACCCCCAAAATCAATCCCAACCTTCCTTTTGTGGTATTGAACCTTATGGTAAAATTTCATCAAGATCCATTCACTTAAACTAAAGTTAGAGTGCGAAAACCAATGTGTCTTCGGACGACGACGACGACGACAACGACGACGACGCCAACGTCATACCAATATACGACCGCAAAAATTTTTTGCGGTCGTATAAAAAGGAAAGAAAAAAAATCCCCCCCCCCTCCCGAATTTGTTGAACCCCCTTATGATTCATCACCCCCAAACTCAATCCCAGCCTTCCCTTTGTGGTATGGTACCTTGCAGTACAATTTCAGAGAGATCCATACACTTGAACACAAGTTATTGTCAGGAAACTAGAAAAATGTGTTTTTTGGCCCCTTTTTGGCCCCAAATTCCTAAACGTTTAGGGCAATTACCCCCAAACTCAAACCCAGCTTTTCCTTTGTGATATGGAACCTTGTAGTACAATTTCAGAAAGATCCATACACTTACACACAAGTTATTTCCTGAAACTAGAAAAATGCTTGTTTTTTGCCCCTTTTTGGCCCCTAATTCCTAAAATATTGAGGCAATTACCCCCATCATCAATCCCAGCCTTCCCTTTGTGGTATGGTACCTTGCAGTACAATTTCAGAGAGATCCATACACTTGAACACAAGTTATTGTCTGGAAACTAGAAAAATGCTTATTTTTGGCCCCTTTTTGGCCCCCAATTCCTAAACGTTTCGGCAATTACCCCCAAACTCAATTCCAGCTTTCCCTTTGTGAGATGGAACCTTGTAGTACAATTTCAGAAAGATCCATACACTTACACACAAGTTATTGTCATGAAACTAGAAAAATGCTTGTTTTTTGCCCCTTTTTTGGCCCCTAATTCCTAAAATTTTGAGGCAATTACCCCCAAAATCAATCCCAGCATTCCTTTTGTGATATGGAACCTTGTGGTACAATGTCAGAGAGATCCATACACTAACACACAAGTTATGTCTGGAAGTTACAAAAATGCTTATTTTTGGCCCCTTTTTGACCCCTTATTCCTTTACTGTTGGTACCATAACCCCCAAAATCAATCCCAACCTTCCTTTTGTGGTATTGAACCTTGTGGTAAAATTTCATAGAGATCCATTCACTTAAACTAAAGTTAGAGTGCGAAAACCAATGTGTCTTCGGACGACGACGACGACGCCGGACGACGCCAGACGACGACGACGACGACGACGACGACGACGCCAACGTCATACCACTATACGACCACAAAAATTTTTTTGCGGTCGTATAAAAATCAGTTGAAAAGGGCTTAACTCATCAGTTCGATACAAAGCAGAAAAACAATTAACAAAAACACAGACCGGGAGTGGCAGGGAATTTACATATCCCTCACAACGAAAAAGATACAAAGTACAGATCTGAGAGTACTCGCAGTTACTGACCGCTAGTTCAAAGCCAAAAACAACTAATAAAAAATCATGTATCTAAGACTAAAAGATTGTTTTACGAACACCATCATGATTTAATTGATCGATAAGATCTGTGTTACAGATGACGACGGCTCCTCTTAACAAGAGTAACAGGTCATTCAATGCTATCATTCATTGATAAAGATAATATACACAATTGTGGAAAAAAAAGCGTTATTCATAATTGCATATATATATATATATATATATATTATATGTATACGCCCTGACTGCAGCTTTTGAATAATGTATTAATTGAAATAAAAATGAAAGTCTGTCAGGTCGTGGAAAATTAACGACAAAATATGATAATTTGTAGCCATATCATGCTATCTTCTGTAAAAACTGATAAAACGTTCACAAATTTCGAAGACAGTTATAGCGCAATATGATTAATGCTATCTCTCTTAGTGCCAAAGATAACACAGTACAAAAATAACATCGTACATCTAGTGTAAGTATTGCTTCGAAGCATTGTGTGTATATTGTTTAAAACTTGACTGTCTGTATAAATCCAAGCTTAATTTGTCTACTTAGAAGTATCTACATGATTTACAATAAAACTACAAAAAAAAATTAAAAAAAAAACACCCGAAAGGAAAATAACACAACTACGGTTTGCAACAATGGGTAACATAAATAAATGTATGCCACATAATTTCTTCGCGCACGACACATTTTTTTTGTAAAAATAATTTCCATAGTGTACGACTGGAACAAAAGTTTTGCGAAGAATCCACTGGAAGAATCATGCATTAAAATTTTAAAGATCAATACCATACCATATGTAGCATGTCTCCGATAAACCAAATATGACGGTTTAATTTAAATCCATAGAATCTTAATCTTCTTATTCTTTTTAAAACGCAGGACAAATATTGTTTTCAAACTGACGATTACTGTTTATGAAGATTTATTTATTAAAGAGTTAACAAAAGCGATTTTTAAGGAAGAGCACTTTTCTTTATTATTTATAAATTCAGAAAGACAGTTCACAGCTTCACGAATAATAAACGAGAATATTATTTTCTACAAAACAGATGTAACATAAAACCCTTATCTCAAATTAAGAGTCCTTATTCAAGCGACCAAAGAAAATTAGAATTTGCTCTTATCACTTAAAAAACACTGAGGACAGCTGGCCCTATAATACAATAAAAAGTAATGAAAAAGTTATAAAATTAGTGACTAATAAAACATTTAAGCAAAGCATACACACAATATATCCATTCAATTTAAAGTCAGTGATAGAGTGTGTTTTTGCTGTGCACATACTGATATTGTGAACTGGATGGACCCCGCATCCTTTTTCTTATAGATGACTTTGAAAAAAAATTATATACATATTATAAATGAGTCATTCTATACTGTTGTTTTCAGTGGTTAAGATGTTTAAAAAAACATAGAAACTAACTAAATGAAGGGACGGGTAACTACATAGAAAAGAAACCTTTAATTGCTTTGTTTTTCCATAGTAATTGATATATGAATGCTGTTTAGTGAATGGGAGAATAGTTTCTCGTTTAGATCATGTCTTAAGAGTGGTTTGATTGTCAAAAACTACAATTGCTGCAGATGAATGAAAATGATGCTATGTAAATCTTGTGACATTTTTTTGAATTATCAATCGTATTTCATAAAGAAGCACAGGTAAAATGACTGCTCGACGTACATACCCTTTTACACTGTAAAAATACATAATCTTTTATAAATTGTAGACTTACGACATAGTCTTAACATTTTGTTAAGAGACGAAAACTGCAGTAAAATGCTAGTATGTTAAGTAATGTCATCTTTGTTAAACATTTAACGACACTACCAATATATCTAAAAAATCAGCTAATTAATGAAGAAGTAACTTGTTTTCAAACTCTTGTTCATTAGTACCCGAAAAAGTACGTAAAATAACGTTTGTGTTTTTTTCATTAGACGAAGTTTTAACGAAGATTTATTTATTTAAATATAGTTTTACTATTTGTTTATTGTCTTTTAAGTCCTTTGAAATAAAAGAATTAATGTTACAATATATGTATAATAACAATATTTGTACCACAATACACCTTGTCCTAAAGGTATAAGTAAAAGATTTTTCATTATAAACTACCAACTACTTGTCCGTTTATCTTATAGTAGTATAGTGCATCTATATAAATGATCTTACTCACAGTTAAATGCAAACTCCGAATGGTCGCTATCGTCCACAGCAATCACAACAATTCTTCTCTCAACGGCTAAACTATCCATCATTGCCATAGCGAATAACAACAGACAAATGCTATCCTACGTCAAGTCACTTCCCTGTAATTTCATCGTTTGTTTACTATTCAGCTAGTTAATCCACACCTGCACTTAGGCTGCAGACAATTAACTGTCTGATATTATGATAATTCTGATGTTTTTGAAAGATGGAAAGACTTAATTAATTACTGATTTAATGTTTGTTAAAATAAAGTAATTGTGTATAATAATCAATTAAAGTAATGAATGAACATGGCAGATAAGTTTTTGACCTAATTTTCTTGTTTTCATAATCTCTGAATCTGTAGACTTTATTCTATTTGCACATTTTTTCTTCACGCTTTAATGTATCATTTTGTATGCATTTTACAATGTTTTACTCAAATAAAAGAAAAATTTGATTAAAGGATTTTAAAGCATGCATTTAAAAAGAATTTTTTCAAAAGCAAAAAATAGGAAATAAAGGCTGATCCTGATAATAGACATGTACATATACCATTGGAAATTAATTATCCGATTAAGATCAATAGAAGTTTTATTGTCTCTTTAAGGAGACGACAATTTAATCCTCTTTTGGGGAGGGGTGGTTAGGGAATGGGTGTGAAAATGAATATTCAGGCCTGTTAAGAACGGGAAATATTCTGCCCAAGAAAATGGAGGGAATGAATGTGTACTGAAAAAATAAGCTGTACTAGCCATAGCTGGAAATAGATATTCCGACAGCAAAATAATCCTCTTGCAACTCCCTCACCCCGAAAAATCAAATTGGTCGTCTTTTAACAGGTGTTCCAAGTGAAATAAAACTTGATGGAATATCTGTCTGAAAGTTGCATATTGGTAGAATCATGTGCAAAACAGTGTAGCCGAGACCATTGATTGGCGCGCTAAAATATCCCATTGACTGGGTCAGATTAGGTGAACGTTCGTCTGTAACGCCCACAACTCACGACGTATTTATTATAGACATTTAAACTGTGGGGTCACCAAAGGGTCTCAAAGCCTAAATAAAATAATTCGAAAAACTAATCAGGAATAACCTTTGTGTTTTGATTTATATTGAATACTTAAACGTTCTTTACTTGTGTTTTTGTTATGTTTTGATAATGAATTTTTATGATATCGGACGTTCTTTCAACAAAAAAGGATTTAACTGGCTTTAAAAGTTACAATGGATGTGTTGATTATTATATTTTTTTCGGACGTCAAAGCGATTTAACAATTGCGGTTGTCCAATTATGTCAACTTTTAACTTTTATCTGGTCAAAATTTTATTTTAGAACGAATGCATGATCAACTTTAAAAAGTGTGCAAACACAAAACATATAGACAAAATATACTTCTTTCCTTTCTTTTTCGAACTTGCAAGTTATTAGACAGTAAAAAGGCTATTTGGATCAAGCCTTGTGAAATTTGCATTTACGTTTTTGAATATGTACAGTCAAGTTTAGCGATTGATAATTCATTGATAACATTCTGGCGTATCACATACAAACAACTTGTAACGTCTCATTTGATTGGCCGAAAGATTTAAGTACAACAACAATTGTAGTGTGCACGTGAATTGACACAGGTGACCGACAATGGAATGTACTACGTTACTACGAACGTAAAAAACAATGATTTTGGGTCCAAATAATTATATAAGTATTTTGTGAATTTCAAATAGTGGGGTCGAAATATTATACTAATAATTTGTGTTAAGTAATATTCTTTATGCATGCAGCACTTGTACCGCACTATGAAAAATATAAGGATAAAATAAAACACATGTGCCGCTTTTATACGGATGCATGTATGAACCACTTTAATTTCTTTCATATTGACGCTAGGTTATTATCCTGACAATGTCGTAATTACTTATAATAAGGATCTCATAATACTGATCCATTTCAAATTTATGATGGGTTGCACATTCCTCTTTTATTGTTTTCATGCTATAAAACGAAAATAAAGTAGGTAAGCGTTTGGTCATTCAGAAATGACGTGTCATAAACGAGCAAATTGTCCCCGAAAGATCGTATCATGTGTGCACGTGAATATAGATGTACTATGCAATGTACTATCATGGTCACCACGAAATTCAAATGAATTCAGTGAAGGCATGTTGGTGTAAAAAGGTTTGAAATGTTTCATCGGCGAAGATTTTATTTTTGCATGTGTCGAACTAAAAAATAAATAAATACTTGTGAGAAATGTCGTAGTTTATAAGGAACTATATAAATGTACTGTTTTCGATTGTAATTGGTTGAAAATTTATCTTTAGTTTAATTTCATACCGTAAGAATAGAGCTTTGCATAACATTGTTGAACTATCCGCCAAAGTAACGTGTGGCATGCGTGCGTATTAAAATGAAATACAAAATCATACATGTATGATAAACTTATAAACGAAATATTAAGAAATTAAGGATGACTACTGTAAAAGTATGTACAAAAATGGAGTCACCTTTTATCAATACATTTAGTGAATAACCACACTGTTTAAAACTGATTGTTTTCTATGCAACTATTTAAATATTTACAATATATAATTTTCAACCGAGGACAGCAAAACAGTTATTATAAATTAAGAAAGTATATCGCTGGAGTTTATAAAGTACATTTCCTTCCACTGTGTCATGGTTTGCCATCTCCATTTTTTCTCTAAACAAAGCATGGCTGGTTACATGTTCTGAATTTACTTAGAATTTCGGGATTTTTTTTTCAAAATTAAGTAAACTAAATCAGAAAAAAAAATCACACTATCCTAAAACTTATGAAAGAATATGAATAATGAACATGACAGTTTATAACACAAACCCATTTACTATAAAAGTCGAGCAATATCTTTAGTATGTAATTTGGTTATTTTTGTAGTTAAGTACGGTTTCATTTCAAGTACAACGTTAATTCATCAAGTCCATTGAATAAAAGATAAGGCAGGGTGAGCAACTTGACAAAAAAAAAGGCAGGGTGACGATTTATGTAAAAAAATCAGGATAAACTAATAAATATAGTCAGGACCTAACAGACTGAAAAATAGAAAGACAGGACAGAGATAACAACTAAAAAAAATGCAGGACAAAATGTTTCATCCAAGTCCCCCACCCCCAATCAAAATAAAGTGGTAGCTCCCTTAATCCAGAACCAATTGAGAGGAGACAGTTGAATTAAATATTTCGACGTGACTGTTAAGATTAAAGTTTAAAATTTTACATGCACATGTATAAAAGCTAGAATTGCCATGGGATAATCAAGAACACAATCATGTATGTGAATACGACGATGGAAGTTTTTAACGACCTTGACCGGCTACGTGAATACTGATCAGTCCATTCAGCTTCATAGTACGCGTGTTCTATTTTCGCAGGTGTGAGGTTGAAGGTTTGAAATGACCAATGAAAACGATCGTTCCTTAACGAGTTAATCTAATAAAGTTTGTTTGACTGATTATGTTGCACGACCTTTCGCTAAGCTTGGCCGCAGTTCAGTATACAATGTATAGTTTGATGATCTTTTCTGCTAACTACTATACTTGTGAAAAACCCTTGGCAACAGAAACATATTCAGTTTTTTTTTAATTGACCCAATTTACATAGTAATGGACGACTTCGTACATTTTATGATCGCAAATAAAATATGTATATATTATACTGTGCACTGTAGTTCGTATATATACTGAGACCCTTTGGCAACCCCACAGTTTAAATTTTTATAATAAATACGTCGTGAGTTGTGGGCGTTACAGACGAACGTTCACCTAATCTGACCCAGTCAATGGGATATTTTAGCGCGCTAATCAATGGTCTCGGCTACACTGTTTTGCACATGATTCTATTTCAAACTGTGTGTTTGGACAGACAGAGTTATTTGTTGACGGTCCAGTTATCCTTGGAATGATTTATTGTTTAAACTTCATTTTTTGAATGTGGTCAAATTAAAATACTTATAATTGTTGAGTTTAGATAAACAAACTGAAATTCCGATAAGCCTTAATTTTTCTCTCTTTCAGTATTCAAACAGCCTGAAAAAGCTTTTCCTTAGTTCTCAAAAACATTTATCGACTAAATATTGAATTTTACAAAAATCCATGATTTGATAATAAAAAGAGTGAATAAACATCGCTGTTACATTCTTACTTATTGATATTCTTGTTTGCTTAACTAGCAACCTCCCCAACTCCTTCTCTATCATCAGCCTGAGTAGCTGCGGAACCGTAACTCTTAGGTCCTTATGATATTTTCATCTATGGTCCGCAAATTGTCAAATTTTATCATAATTACTCAAGAGCTACGGTTCCGCAGCTACAGCCTGTGATTAACAGGTGCTTATTATCTTTTTTCTATTGCTTTAGAATTTCGGTGTTTTCTCTTTGCTGTAAACCAGTTTACTAGAGGTACTACGAACAAATCTCACATAATGAAACTCCCGCCCCACAAAGTCCAAAAGTTTTGCTTGGGAAATTAACAAAAATAATTCGAATTTGAAAACAAAATAGCAGTTGTACAATGGCATTCTTTTGTTTAAGAGTCTGAGAACGTTTCAATGAATTATAAGGGGTTTAGGAGGAGTTGGGAATTCACGATGCTTACCCAAAGATAAAGCAACGACAAAATCCGTGATTTGCTAAGAGAAACCCCAAGTGCACAACGGAATTATATGGTTAAGATTCATAATAGAAAAAACAAAGGATATGGGGTATCCATCCATGACACAAAATCAATACTTGCACATAAAAAAACACACAAAAAGCAAAAGAACAGCGCTTTTATTGCTGTTCTTCATCTTAAAGTCACAGTGAGGCCTTCAATGGACAGTTTCATTAAATTCTGATTATGAATTGAGGAGGAGAAGCGGTTCAAATGTGTACTGAAGTGTGCGGATATGACAAATTCCATGTCATGCAAAGTCGAATCCCCAAAATTGGTATGATGAAAAACTAAAATAGGAGTTGCAAAATCAAAACATGCATGCAAGATTCTGTGAAAGTTTCACAAAATTATGATAAGCGAATCATAAGCAGTAACGGATACAAATGGTGGACGGAAGGACGAATACTCTATCACTGTATAATACCCGTCTTAGGAGCTTGGGGTATACGGTAATACTCAAAAACTGTATAATACCCGTCTTAGGA